AAAAATAAGATTAAGTCCACTTTCCCTCATCAAACTTGAACTTAAATTGAGAATCGATTCTCTTACCCTGTTATGTGTTTGACTCTATGCTATAGATGTTTGTCTTACATAGCTTACACTAATATTCATGGATCCTGCTACAGTACGTTCTAAGAAACCATCTCCTTTATGATGATTGGTAAGATGACTAAAAGAGTTGATATATCTACTTGGCTTACGGAATCTATGCAATTTTTAGTTTATAAATTGTATAGGATTTGGGTGTAACAAAATATAAAAAAAAATGCATTTTTACATCATTAAAATTTACCTTCTATCATTTTGTTGAAGTTTCTTTTTAGTTGTTACTAATGCCTTTTTGCATCTTGGGCCAATAGTAAATTTGAGTTTTCGGCATACGGGATCCTAAGACCCAAAATGTTAATTGTAACGCCTCCTATTAGTTTTTCCATTTTCTTTAGTTTGTTGCTCTGGAATTTATTTTGAACAAGTACAAGATGAGATATAGAGCAAGAAGGAGAATTATTTTAGGAATAAACGTTTAATTTTATTTTCTATTTTCTCATGTTTTGTTTTCATTTTGGATGTATTTGAATCCCCTCCTAACATTCATGGTTTATAAATATTATTATTGTTTTTTTAATTATATTGATGCCACATACACATATCACATAGAGTTTAAATAAGGAGGAGAAAATGAATACATCCAAATGAAAAAACTAAAAGGACAATGGAGATAAAAATTATAAGGGTAAAACTCATTCTTCTCCATGAAGACCTCTTCTTGGTCCCTGTATCTTTGTGTCCCTGCTCAGATAATTATTAAGGAAACAAAGAATAAAGAAAAATGACACAAGCACTAATGGATGGCCTTAGACGTGACACTTGGTGACTGTTGAGTTGTGTCCGTAACACTTCACCCATTATTGTTCTTAATTAATTTGGAAAACCCTATTTACTCGGGTCTTTAAGCCACATTGAACTCATTTAATTTATACCTCAAACTATTATCGTAATTTATGAATTTTATCAATTTTTAATTATTTTGATTTTATTTAAAACTATTTAATTTTAATTTAATTACATTTATTTTATTTTATTTTATTTTATTTCAATATAAAAAACATGAAATTTTGGAAAAACGGAAAAAATCCTGCGGGGAAGGGCAACTGCCCGCGCGGGCACCTGCACACTGTGGCGCGCATGTGTGCATAGCAGGCGCGGGACGTGTGCACTGTGCGCGCGCTTTCCGCGCAGCAGGCCTGCATGGATAGACCCCTGTGCGCCTGGGCATGTGCACAGTAGTCCTGCACACGCAGTAGGGAGGGCTATGCGCCTGCAGACTAGCCAGCAGCGCACCAGGTGGGCCACTGCCGCCTCGGGCAGTGCGCCGCCGTCACCTCGGGCGACATGCCACCGCCGCCGATGGAGAAGACTTTCCTCCCTCGTTTTTTGTGCCGAACATCTTTTTTCTCTCTCTTCACAGGATTTCGCCACTTGACGTGAATCTAACGGTTCTTAATCTCTATAAATAGGGTATTCCCTTTCCATTCTTCCCCACACTTCCATTCTTCCATTTCTCAAGAATTAGAGAGAGAAAGAGAGAGAGAATGATCTAGAGAGAGGATAGAAAGAAAAGAACGGTGCAGAAAAAATTATCAAAGTTTCGGTAAGAAATTTAGTATTTCTTTAAACGTTTTAAACGGTATTTTTAGATTAAAAAAAATTATTAAATATGATAATTATGATTTTGCTTCTTTTGCACATTTTTGTGTTTGTAGGTCTAATAAACTGAATTGTTCTTGATTTCAAGCATGCTATGTGATTATTAAATATAACAAACTGAATTATTAAATATAATAATTATGATTTTGTTTGTTTTGCACATTTTTGTGTTTGTAAATCTAATAAACTGAATTGTTCTTGATTTCAAGCATGCTATGCGATTTATTGACACTTGATGATTTGCATTTAATGAAAATAATATTAAATCGGTATTATTACCTGCAAAATAAAAGAAATAAAAAATAAATAAATAAATAAATGTGGAATGAAACATTAACGGTCCGAAGTATGTATTGGTATTGACATGCATAATGCATCAAATGTCTCGTTAAACTTTTTATCTCTAAAGGGTATCTATTCCTCTAACTCCATCCGAAGTATCTGTTTCCCCCTCCCCCATCTGGTCATGCAAAAACGTAAAAAAACTGCTCCCTGTGGACGATAGCGTACCCTCTGACGAGAGTGCTGATGCAAATATCTGTTAAGGGTCACATTTGACTAAGTACTGTCATGACTATAGAATATTTGATAGGACCACCATGGTCGGTACGGCTGTAGTCATAGATCGTACCATTGTTTGACAAGCCAGAAATATGTCTGAGCAAATTGTCACTATTTGTATCTGATCTGATCATTCCACATGGGTAGTTGGAAATCTATATCTGCCGTCAAAAATGGAATTTGTAACGACTTCGCGAATCATGACATGAAAATCTGAGCATTTCATAATTTATTTGATTTTCTCTATTATTTGGTGTGATGTGTGTTTGTTTTGATTATATTAATGTGTTGTTTTCTCTAATAAATGAACTGTTTTCATAATGAAATATAGGTTTACGAAATAACCAAATGGTAAGTATTTATATTAGAATAATTCATCTTTAAAATCTTATGATATTATTTAAATACTGTTTTCCTTACTGAGCATATGGAACTCATTCTTTTCATGTCTCCCCTCCCCCCCCTAGATGAAGAAGAAAATGAGGAACCGCCAGCCAACCTACCTATTGAAGTTTATGAGGATCCCGTGGATCCACAAAACTTGAGTTCATGATCGTTTCTGCACTTTGATGAGTCAAATAGCATAGTGAAAAAAGTGACTCTTTTGTATTTTAAGTTTATATTTTGCTACCACTTCTGATCTCAATTATATATATATAATTGGAGCTCATATATATTTGTAAGAGATTTGTATTAATTTGTTCTGCTGCATAAAATTTTATCATGCACTCGTAATCCTATTTCTGTATCTGACACTCATTTGCCTTAATTAGCATTTGAGATGTCACAGTGTCCCTCTCTATTCTGTTTGACCACTACTTTCTTTCCCACTATTTTCTTTAAGTGAGGATGGAAGGAGATTGGTGCATTATGGTGCAAAGCTATTTTCGCTGATCTATGGGTGCTATAGTTGGACAATAGTTCCAAGATTTTCAAGTATTGAACTACCCATTCTTCTTTCCTTTGGGATAGAATAACACTCTTTGCTGCCTTGTGAGCTAAGGCTCACGATTACTTTCTAGATTTCCCTTTAGTTGTTTTACAAAGGAACTGGATTTTTGTTATTTTGATGTGTTTCTTTCTATTGTTTCTTGTTTAGGAGGATTTCTTTTCCTTTCTCTTTGTGCTCTTTCTCTTCTTCTAATATAATTTCTCTTTTCAGGAAAAAAAAAAGAAAAGGAAAAAGAAAAGCTTGAAAAAATGTAATATAAATGACCAAGTTGCCAGACATCTTTCACAAGCTAAGAAAAGAAATATTAAATACAAGAATGGGCAAAAGGAGATGAACAGCGATCAAACCACGTGAAAGAATATTATCAATTACATTAATTGGTTTCCTCAATGTAAGAGGATAGTTTGGTCGTTCCACTCCAGCCACAGGATTTTATGAGTAATCTAGAAAACTAAGATTTATACATATATATATATATGCATGTATCCTATTTACAGGTTTTAGAACTATGATTAAATTTAATCAGGAACTTGAAAGGATTGAAGAAAATGAGCGAGCATGGTAATCCAATCCATAAAACAAGAGTAAACACAACCCTCATATATGACTTGGGAGTCAAGGACATACCTGTGGTTTCTATGACAATGTGATCAAATTTATCTTTTCTTTTCTTAACTAACTCCAATAGCATTTTAACTAGATCTCCACGCACGGTACAACATAGGCAGCCATTGTTAACCATGACAATGTCCTCAGAAACAGAGGAATGACTAGCAACCAATGATCCATCAATATCTACCTCACCAAACTGCATTAACAGCATGCACTACTATTAACAAAAGAAGCAAAAACAAGTACCCTATTCATGTACTCAACTAACTAACAGTTCACACCTCTATTCTTCTAAGCTAGATATTTATAAAGAAATTAAATAGATGATAAAGCAAGTAAACAAATTTTAAATAAAAACCTAGTTCCATGTCAAATCTGTGAATTCATATTAATGGGGTTTAACAGGACAGCATCACTTGGAAATCAACAGATTGTTTGGAACATTGCAAGTTGGTTGTCGGAGTATTTTGTATGCACTTCCTTAGACTCTCTTTATAGCAAGGAAAATGATCTGAGATGCTGGAGACCAAAAATATAGTATTAAGGTTCCTCATTTCCATTTGGCATGGAACATGTTAAGTTAAGACATCTGCTGGAGGAACATGTTATTGGAATCTAAAGAATCTTTTCTTAAAGCATGTAGATGCATTGAACATTGGTTCATTCTGTCAAGAGTTTTCTCAGATGCACTACATGAAACATTGCTTCATGGCATGGGGAATAACATGAAATAAAAGAGACTGAAGTTAGAAGGAAGACTGAGGGTAATATTAATGCATGATGTTACTCTAAGCTCAAGATAATTGATATACCATTCCACTTGACAAGGAAAACTTGTCAGATCAGTTTGTTTTGTTGCCTAGTAATAACTTGGTCAACATTGTACAACAATTAATAACGTCATAAAGGCATTTCAAAATTACTGCTTTAATTTCAAAAGTTTGAAAAAGCATTTCCCAGGAGTAACAGACAATGTATATACCAAAAAGAAAAAAGGGAAATTCAAAGGAAAAGAAAATTACACAGACACCGTTGAGGATAAATAAAATGATAGGACACAATTCTGAATCGCTAGATATATATTGATGGTATATTCTTCAAAAACATAAAAATAAGCAAATTTTTCATTTCAAGAACATAAATATTAGCACACAATACTGAACGTCCACACAGAGATCACAATCAATACCTCATTTTCTATAACTGCAATCCGCTTGCCATGCTGCGATGTTAAAATGTGATTAAGAAGTGTGGTCTGCAGAAAGTCACCAAAAAAATGAGGAAATTACAAAAATAACACCAAAATGAACATCAACACACATTTAACTTTTCTGCTGAGTCGCGCTAAACCTCATTCAATGACCCATTTCTCATTAAATTTGCATTTTACGAAGCACTGAACCCAGCTCGAAACCGATGAACTTTCAAAAGCAGGAATTTATATAGTAAGCATAATGTATTTTCCTCTAGCAAAACAAACCATATACGTTCCAACATACAACTACCATCTGATGAAGAGCAATAAAAAAAACAACATAAAACAAAGAAAGACGAACCTTTCCTGACCCGAGAAAGCCAGTGATGACGGTGGCAGGGACGCGATTATCGACAGCAAGAGAACTTGCGCCAGCTTCATCAAGATTGAGATTTAGTTCAGAGGAAAAGCATCGGAAATTTCTGGGGAGAAGTGAACACCGGGAATGCGATTCTGGAGAAATTGAGAGGAAACTTCTGAGGAAATGAAAAAGGGCCGGGGAACATCTGGAAGGGAGAAACCAAGAGAGATTTTCACGTGAAGCTCTTGAAATTAAAAATCTGATCGCCATGGCCTTTACCACTCCACCGCGACAAGAAAGATCAAATCAGCTCGTGAAAGCACATTCTTCTGGTCTTAGCTTAAACCCTGGGTTTTAGTCTTTTAGGTTATGCTCCTTGCGCCCTGATCCGATGATTTAACGTGAGAATTCATTAATGTCGGACGGTGCGGTACGTATAAGATTTATTAATATTTAAATAATAGTTTATTAATATTTAATAATATAAACTGTTTTTATTTAAATTAATATAATTGTATATTTAAATAAATTTTTATTTTATTATTATTTTATTATATATAAAAATAAATAAAAATTTAAAAAATATATAATATTAAATATAAAGATATATAAATATATATAATTAATATATATATAATTAAATATATTATATACATGAATAATATGTAAAAATAAAAACATAAATACATATATATAATAAAATATCTGTATTTATATATAATTAAATATATAAATACATATATCCATATATAAATTTATATATATATGTAATAAAAATATATAGATAATTAAATATATAAGTATATTTTGAGAAGAAGTGTCCTCAGGTAGAAGAAATTAAAGAGATGGGTAATGCTGTAAACAACAAAAATATTAAGAATATAAAAGAAAAAAATTATCAAATCATCTTAAAATTATAGAATCAATGATTTTAAAAAATGAAAAAAAAAATTATGATTTTAAAAATCATAACTCAACCATAAAAAAACTATAACATATGTTTGGAAATGTAAACAAAAAAAAATTATGAAAAAACTAAATTATTATTATTGAACTATCATTCAAACAAAACTTTAAATATTTAAATTTTTGTTTAAATTTTTTTATAAATAAGTTTTCAGTTTTTTTTTTTAATTATTAAAATATATAATTAATATAATTATATTAAATTATAATTATTCTAATTTTGTTCCTAATTTTTTAATATATTATAAATTTGGTAAAAGTTAAAAAATAATGTGTTGAATATAACCGGTATAGATTAAACACTTACACTGAATTGGTATGGGTGTTTATCCAATATAAATAAGAATAGTACTAATTACATTGTTTAATGAATAAAATTATCATACAGCTATATTATTGTCATATAAATTAAACTATTATTAATTACAGTATCTTATAAATTAAACATACTAGATTGAATATATATAATTAAAATATTATTAATTATAAAAATTTATTTTTATTATTAAATATTTTTATAATTAAATATGTAGCAGCTCCGGAAATTTAAAATAGAAATTATATTATAAATATCAAATGCGGAAGCGAAGTCAAAATTTGAATAACATCCCTTACACTAAAACCAAAAACGTGCTCACAAAATATAAAAAATTAAACTACCTAAAGGAGAAACTTGAAACTAAAAAAAAAAAAAAAAAACTACGAATGTGACTAGGGAGTCTTTAGGCGTCCCCTTCGTCGTCCTCCTACGGAACCGGCTCGGGAACGATGTCCTCTTGATCTGAAATGATTAAATAAGGAATGAGCTACACTAGCCTAGTAAAGACATCACGATATCTCACCGTCACGGAGGTAAAGATGGGTAGAAAACACAAAAAGACCAATGGAGCATAATTTACAACAAATCCTTTTATTAATAATAAAACCTTTACCATTCGCTTACCTCGGTGAAATTCATAAAACAATATACGAAAGCAATAACATCATCATCATCATGAAAACATATATATGAACTGTATAACATAATACCTATCAAACCTTTCGTAATTCAATCGTTACACAACATATTTTCCTAATTCACCAGCCCACTAGTATCCATGGGGATCCATAGGGGTCCCGCTATCCGTTAATCCTTAACACTTGAAATCCACTCCAGGGCCGTCCCCATACCCCGTCCGGTATGGGCGCCAAACCATAGACCTCATTACCCCGTCCGGTATGAGGGTGAAACGGGCCGTCCCCATACCCCGTCCGGTATGGGCGCCAAAACATAGACCTCATTACCCCGTCCGGTATGAGGGTGAAACGGGCCGTCCCCATACCCCGTCCGGTATGGGCGCCAAAACACATAAGATCTCCATACCCCGTCCGGTATGGGAGACCACAATCCCGGTAGAGTTCCCTACGGACCTGGTCCGTCCACCATCTCCCAGGATATCTAGTCAGGCTGACCACATTATACCATTACCCATTTACATAATTTTTCATTCTCTTTTTCCTCAGTCAGCATCATTAATCCACATACAAGCAAGCAAACAGTAATTTATGCTAAACAGACAACATACAGCATCAATATACCGGTCATTTAATCCATAATCAATAAAACAGTAAAATATGCACACGAAACTATAAAATAAAAATATCGAACCTCATGCTGCATTTAAAACTGTAAAATAGACCAAATAACAGTTAACCGACAAATACACTATACTTGGGCTCCATTAGCGACCTTAAGCAATTTCACACATTCGTTGATTCATGAAATACTGTTTTATCATTTATTGAACTTTAAAACCGTGATAGGAAATAAGGTGAGGGGTCCTTACACGTTTCGAGGTCCGAACACGGCTTCACAGTGCGCCTACAGGCTATCCCTAATTTTTCCTGAATTTTTCTCGGGGAACTGAAACGCACTACTGGTACCTGCACATATTCCAAAAAATCCCAAATTAGGCACAGGGCCCCTTTCGGCCAATATCGCAACTCCGGCACGGCGGCTCCGCCGTGCTCCGGCGACGGCACCACCGCTGGCGGCGGCGATTCGCCTCGGGTTGGCTGTTTTCGGCCATTTCCGGCCGAATTCGGCCACACTCGCATCGGTCCCTGCGAGAAAACAACCCTAGGGCCCTCGGGGGGCCAAAAAATCACGGAAAAACGGAGCTTACCGGCGGCAGCGCTCTCGGGTGCGGCGGCTCTCCAGCGAGGTTCGTGTTTTGATGATTCGGCTCCGGTCAACCTGTAGAGAAAAGAATGGTGATCACAGTGATATAAAAATTGCATCAAACGGAGGCCGGGAAGGGCCTCCCGGTCTCATCGGAGGCAAAAACTGAGAAGGGGCGCGGCGGCGCCGCTGGGCTTCGGCTGTGTATTCCGGCCGTTTGGCCGGGATTTTGGCTCCGATTTGGCCACAGGAGGAATCAGCGTGGAAAAACGAGTCGGGGGTACGAAATTTACCTCGATCGGCGGTCGGAAATCTCCCCGGTGCGGCGGCGGGTGGCGGCGGCCGGCTTCTCCGGCGTCTAGTTCGTCTTCTCCGGCAAGGGCAGGCAGCTAGGGTTTTTGTGGTTAGGTGTGGGGGTTCTATTTATACCCTTTTGCCTTTTGATCTCAGCCGTCCATTTTGTTTTAATATGGGCCGTCCGTTTTTGATTGAATCTGGGTCGTTCGTGCGATTGCATCTGGGCCGTCCGATCGCACGCTTTATCTGGGCCGTCCGATCGCGCCTACGCGGATCGCCAACGTGGCCCGTTCCGGAACGATGTGGTCTTGCCACGTGGCAGGTCCCGGTTGGCCGGGACTGCTGACCGGGCCTGCTGACGTGGCTGCCGACGTGGCTTTTTTTTTTTTTTTTCGGCCCCTTTCTGGGCGCTACAAAATATATTACATAGATGGTTTTATCAATGTTCTAAATTTTTCATCTTTTTCTTTTATTAATATTTGTAAATTTTGTGGGAATACTGTAACGGCCCCGGAAATTTAAAATGAAATATGTGTATTAAAAATGTCGAATGCGGAAGCGAAGTCAAAATTTCGATTAACATCCCTTACACTAAAACCAAAAACGTGCTCAAAATATAAAAGATCAAACTAACTAAAAGAGAGACTCGAAAGTAAAAGCTTTGAATATGACTATGGAGTCTTTAGGCGTCCCCTTCGTCGTCTTCTTGCGCGACGGGCTCGGGAACAATGTCTTCCTGATCTGAAATGATTAAATAAGGGATGAGCTACACTAGCCCAGTAAAGACATCATGATATCTCATCGTCACGGAGGTAAAGGTGGGTAGAAAACACAAAAAGACCAATAGAGCATGATTTACAACAAATCCTTTTATTAATAATAAAACCTTTACCATCCACTTATCTCGGCGAAATTCATAAAACAATATACGAAAGCAATAACATTATCATCATCATGAAATCATATAAACTGTATAACATAATACTTATCACGCCTTTTGTAATTCAATCATTATACAACATATTTTCCTCATTTACCAGCCTACTAGTATCCATGGGGATCCATAGGGGTCCCGCTACCCGTTAACCCTTAACACTTGAAATCAGATTCCAGGGCCGTCCCCATACCCCGTCTGGTATGGGCACTAAAACTATAAACCTCATTACCCCGTCCGGTATGAGGGTGAAACGGGCCGTCCCCATACCCCGTCCGGTATGGGCGCCAAAACACATAAGGTCTCCATACCCCGTCCGGTATGAGAGACCACAATCCCGGTAGGGTTCCCTACAGACTCGGTCCGTCCACCATCTCCCAGGATATCTAGTCAGGCTGACCACATTATACAATTATCAATTTACATAATCTTTCATTCTCCTTTTCCTCAGTCAGCATCATCAATTTACATACAAACAAGCAAACAGTAATTTATGCCAAACAAGACAACATCCAGCATCGGTTTCTCAGTCATTCACCCCATAATCAATAAAATAGTAAAATATGCACGCGAAACAATGAAATGAAAACATCAGACCTCATACTGCATTTAAAACTGTAAAATATGCCAAATAATAGTTAACCGACAAACACACTAGACTCGGGCTCCATTAGCGACCTTAAGCAATTTCACACATTCATTGATTCAAGAATTACCGTTTTATCATTATTGAACTTTAATACCGTGATAGGAAATAGGGTGAGGGGTCCTTACTCGTTTCGGGGTCCGAACACGGCTTCACAGTGCACCTACAGGCTGTCCCTAATTTTCTCTGAATTTTTTTGGGGGAACTGAAACGCACTACTGGTACCTGCACGTGTTCCAAAAAATCCCAAATTAGGCCCAGGGCCCCTTTTTGGCCAATATCGCAATTCCGGCATGGCGGCTCCGCCGTGCTCCAGCGACGGCGCCGCCGCAAGCGGCGGCGATTCACCTCGAGTTGGCCGTTTTCGGCTGAATTCGGCCACACTTGCATCGGTCCCTGCGATAAAA